ACGCTCTGGAGACAAGCAGAGAAAGCTGGCGCATCCCTAAACATTCCAGAAGATAGTGAATAGCTGTGCCTGGGAACTAGTGGTCAGTCTGAGAAAATTTCTGTAAACAGGCGCTGCCTAATAAACCTTGCTGATTGAACCTGCATGGTCTCCAGGAGTTCTTTGGGCTAGGCCTGACAGAAGGGCTTTAAAGGTCAACACCAACACCTTGAATTGCACCCAGAAGCAAACTGGTAACCAGTGCAGCTTCCAGAGCAGAGGTGTAATGTGTGCTGCTTTAGGAGCACACATTACTGCCCATGGTGCCGCATTTTGCACCAGCTGAAGCTTCCAAATACTCTTCAAGGGCAGCCCCATGTAGAGCATGTTGCAGTAGACTACCTGGGAAGTGACCAGGGCATGAGTGACTGTGAGCAGAGCCTCCCGGTCCAGAAACAGGCATAACTGGCACACAACATGAAGCTGTGCAAAGGCCTTCCTAGCCATGACTACCACCTGCTCTTTGAGCAGGAGTCTCAAGTCTAGAAGAAACCCCAGATTGCACACTGGGTCTGTTTGGGGCAGTGCAACTCCATCTAGTACCAAAGATAGAATGGTCCCTGAACTGGAGGGCCCCAAAACCCAAAGCCACCCAGTCTTGCTAACATTCAGTTGAAGCCTGTTGGTCCCCATCCTGGCCCCTACAGCCTCCTGGCACTGGGATAGGGCATCACCAGCATCCCTTAATTCGCCAGGGTCAGAAAGATATAATTGGGTATCATCAGCATACTGATGATATCACACCCCATGGCAACGTATGATCTCCCCCAGCTGCTTCATGTAGATGTTAAAAAGGAGAGCTAAGAGCACTGACCCCTCTGGAACCTTACAAAGTGATTGAGTAGGTGGTCACACAGCAGCTTCAGAGAGGGCTGGGATCTCTCCTTCCCAATCACCACTGACTGAGACTACTTCAGAGAAAGGAGGAGAACCAGCACAATACATTTCTGCCCACCCCTAATCCCCAGAGCTGGTCCAGAAGGATACCATGGTTGATGGTATCCAAGGCTGCTGAGAGGTCAAGAAGAGCAAGGTTGGATACACTACCTCCGTCTGCTCATGTCAGAGATCATCTAAAAGCACAACCAATGCCATTTCCATCCCATACCCAGGCCTGAATCCTGACTGAAAGAGGTCTAGATAATCCGCTTCATCCAGAGCTCTCTGAAGCTGCTGTGTGACCACCTACTCAATCACCTTCCTCAAAAAGGGGAGGTGAGATACTGGGAAAAAATTGTCCAAGATGCTGAGATCCAGCAATGGTTTCCTGAGGGGGTGAACCAACACCTTAAGAAGCAGAGGAACAACCCCCTCACTCTAGGAAGAATTCAGCACCACTAGAACCCACCCCCACGACACCCCCTGGGTAGCTTTAACTAGCCAGGAGAGGCATGGATCTAAAGAGCAGGTGGCTGAGTTCACAGTCCTAAGAAGTCCTGTCTACTTCCTCAGGCACAAGAGGTTCCTAAGGCACAACAGGTTATGCTGATATCTCCCTAAAGTGAGACTGAATTAAGCTGTTGCTATCCTCGTCTATGTTCTTAATTTGCTTACATACTTTAGATGTTACTAGAAGTAGAATAAGAAGACATATTGCAATAAGTCTACATCATGATTAGCAAACTTACACATTGATCCCAAAATGAATCTTTCCTCAATACCTGCTTACACTGATCGATTCTCATGATATAAAGAAAGAATAGAGTGAACAAGCAACAGCAGCACAGATGCAAGCAGACAGATTTCCTAGATTTCAAGCATTAATGTGGACCTTGATTTTGCTGAAGGGTATAGCATGTGGACTGGTGGATTAAGATTGTCTTTTTAGAATTAATACACTGTATGTATTAATGCCTTCTGAGCTGCAAAAGCCTTCTGATAGCATGCTTGTCCTTTTGGTTAGTTCAGCCAAGCTGCTTTGGTTCTCCACACTTGGCATTGGAATAGCATGGCAACTAAGAATGAAGTATATGGAAGTCTGTAAGTCATTATTTATTTTCACTATTAGTTGGCCTTAGTTTGCAAGTGTGTTTGGAAAGAAGAGGCTTTTTTCTCAGGGCCAAGAAATAGAGACCCTAGTTCCATGACAAATGTTGACTGGTAGATCATTTATATTTATATTTATATATTGCTTATATAAGCTTATTTCCTGGTCTCTGTGTATCTAATGTAGAGTTAGATTTGCTTGAATCAAAATCAGTGTTAGAACAAAACAAGCAATTTTTGAACAATGAGCTAGAGATTGAACTGGAAACTCTTAGGATCTGTAAAGCAATATCACATCTATATAACATGATATTTCAAGTCCCAGAGTTCCTGCAGATACTTTTGTACATAAGAAAGGGGAAAAATAGGATGATGTAGGCAACACAGTGATGTCCCAGACTTCTGGAGAACACTAAGCTGGCTCCTTGCACAACAGAATATAGCAGTAGCCTGGAATAGAAGGTAAAGCACCTTAATAACCACAAACATTGAGGTCCCTGGTATCAGTATAGACCCTAAAACGTATCTGGCTAAATTAATTGGACCTTTGGTCTCTGGAGTCCAGTCACAGCATTTCAAA